ACTGTCTGTAACTCCAGTTCCTAGGGATCTGATTCCACATTAATGCATATAAAATAAAATAAAATATAAAAAAAGAATAACGCCTGTCTGGACAACATGTTAAGTTTAAGGGCAGCATGAGCCAATGAGATCTCAAAATAAAAAAAATGCGCAAGGAGGGCTAGGCATGCAACTAAGTGCAGAGCTATTTCCCTGCATGCCTGTGTAAGGCCATGACTCAATTCCAGTACACATCCTTAATGAGTAGGAATCAAACTTTTCAAAGGGTTTTTACTTGGCGGGCAGTGGTGGCACACACCTTTAATCCCAACACCTGTCAGGCGGAGGCGGAGGCAGAGGCAGGTAGATCTCTTGTGAGTTTGAGGCCAGCCTGATCTACAGAATGAGACCATCTTCCCTAACCTCCATCTCATCTAAAGGATTTTATCAACTCATTTTTTTGCACTCTTGTTTTAAAAAACTATCTCAGCAATGGAGAACCTCAAATTGTTTGATGTTTGTGGCTAACCAACTATATGTATGTTTAAAAAACTACTTCAAGTTATTAGCATGTGTTTCATCTGCTCTACAATTAAATGGTGTACATTTATATCTACCTCCCTTTCGCAATCAAATAGTCTCAAAGAACACAGTAGTTTCCTTAGACTTAATACAGTTTATAGGCCCGGCGTTGGTGGCACACGCCTTTAGTCCCAGCACTCAGGAGGCAGAGGCAGGCAGATCTCTGTGAGTTCGAGACCAGCCTGGTCTACAAGAGCTAGTTCCAGGACAGCCTCCAAAGCCACAGAGAAACCCTGTCTCGAAAAACCAAAAAAGAAAGAAAGAAAGAAAGAAAGAAAGAAAGAAAGAAAGAAAGAAAGAAAGAAAGAATACGGTTTATAAAATTCAACCAGTATCTACCTTGCCTCCCTCTCTCAGGTTTCTCTTTGTAGCCAGCCAAGGGAGTTTGAGGCCAGGTTGGGGGTACATACACAAGATCCTGTCTTCAAAAATCTAAAAAAAAAACGTTTTAAAAAAACTATCGGGGGCTGGAGAGATAGCTCAGAGGTTAATAGTACTAGCTGCTCTTCCAAAGGTCCTGAGTTCAATTCCCAGCCACCACATGGTGGCTCACAACCATCTATACTGAGATCTGGTGCCCTCTTCTGGAATACATGCGGGAAGAACACTGTATACATAACAAGTTAAAACTTAAATAAAAAAATTATTGGCTGGGCATCAGGAGCACATTCCTTTAATCAAAGCACTCTAGAGGCATAGAGACAGATGAATCTCCTGTGAGTTCAAGGCCAGCCGGCTCTACTGAGCAAACTCTGGGACAGTCAGGACTACACAATTAACCCTGTCTCGAAAAGACAAGGAGGGAAGGTAGTGCTGGCCTTCAATCTCAGCACTGGGGAGGCAGGGGCAGATGGATCTCTGTGAGTTGAAGACCCACCTGGTCCACAGAGACAGTTTGAGGACAGCCAACGCTACAGAAAGAAACCTTGTCTTGAAAAACCAAACCTGTCTTGAAGGGGAAAAAAGTATTGAAAGGACCTGCAGAGACGGCCAAGTGATTAAGAGCACTCACTGGTTGCTCTGCCTTAGATTCCATTCCTAGCACCAGCATGTAAGGCAGATCCTAACTGTCTGTAATAGATGTGGTAGAAGAAAAACTGACTCTTGCAAGATGTACAAGTTGCTCTCTGATCTCTATGTATCGGCAGTGACATAAACACATCAGGCAAACACATGCCACCATGAATTTAAAGTTTTTTCAGGCTTAGGACATTCAAGAATGTTTATAAGGGTGTGTGTGTGGCTGGAGAGATGGTTCAGTGGTTAAGAGCATTTGTTCTGCTCAGGAAGTGTTTGGTTTCCAGCACCGTCTCAGTGTGGTGGCCTATAACCACCTGTAACTCCAGGTCCTTTTTCTGACTTCCATTGGCACCAGACTCACACACGGTGCACAAACATACGTACACACAGGCAAAGCACTCACACATCTAATATACATAAAAATTTCAAGGGAAATGTGGTAGGATACAATCTATAACTCCAGAACTTGAAGGCAGGAAGATCTGAAGTTCAAGGTCATATATGGCTATAGAACCAGTTCAAAGGAGGCAATGTTACATGATCTCCCATTTTCAAAAAAAAAAAAAAAAAAAAAAAAGTAATGAATCAGGTACTCTTATTTTCTATATTTATGGTAAGTCATAATTTATCCACTAGAAGCCGGGCGTTGGTGGCGCACACCCTTTAATCCCAGCATCCCAGCACTCGGGAGGCAGAGACAGGCGGATCTCTGTGAGTTCGAGACCAGCCTGGTCTACAAGAGCTAGTTCCAGGACAGCTTCCAAAGCCACAGAGAAACCCTGTCTCGAAAAACAAAACAAAACAACAACAATAGACTTTATCTATCCACTAGATAAAGTCATTTTGGTGGCTATGATTTCAGTTGGTAAAGTGCTTCTTTCACAAGCACAAGAACCTGAACATGAGCCCCAGTGTCTTAGGGTTACTATTGCTGTGATGAAAAACCATACCCAAAGCAACTTGGGAGGGCAGGACTCGCTTCACTCACATTTTCCATTTAACAGTTCACCCTCAAAAACAATAAAGGCAGGAACTCAAGCAGGGCAGGATGCTAGAGGCAGGAGCAGTGGCAGAGGCCACAGAGAAGTGCTACTTAACCGGCTTGCTCAGCCTTTGATACAGAACCCAGGACCACTAAACCCAGGGATGGCACCACCCACAACGGGCTGGGCCCTCCCCCATCAGGCAGTGCCCTACAGACTTGCCTACAGACCTATTTTATTTATGGAGGCCTTTCCTCGAGTAAGGCTTTCTCCTCTTCCAACAACCTCAGCTGTGTCAAACTGACATAAAACTAGCCCAGCACCCATGTAAAATGACAGACACGAAAGCACAAGGATTCACAGGCTTCACTGGCCAGTAAGTTTAACCTTATCAGTAAGCTCCAGGCCAAGATCCTATCACAAAGAGGGTGAGGGTGTTTCTGAGGAGGACACCCAATGTTCTCTTTTGCCTTGCATCGTGAACACATGTGCAAATATACCCCAAAATTTATGCATGCACTCATAAAAAATAAAAATAATTACAAAAACAAAAAATGTAATCATCTAATTTCCTGCAACACTAAATGAGGGGAAACCTCTGGTTGCTCTTCCAGAGGACCAGGGTTTGACTCCCAGAACCTACATGGCAGTTCACAACCATCTAGAACTCCAATCCCAAAGTATCGAATACCCTCTTCTGGCCTCCCATGTATAGGATTAACAGATACAATCAGGCAAACTTAAGTAAATTAAGTGAAATGTGGAAAATAACAGAGTATCTACAGATGAGAAATTTACTATAGATTACAAATGGATTAATACAAAGGAAAATATTTGTGATATGCAGTGGTACATGCCTATAATCCCTGCAATCAAGATTATAAACAAAATAAAACGTAAAATGAAAGTACTTACAGGAACACGAAACAATTAGTTTATTACCTATTAATATTTGTCACAATCATAATTCAAGTGTTGAACTTGCCCACAAACTAAATTTCTTATCATGTTCTATTATACTTAAGACTTTTTCAGGCTCTTTCATTTGAGCCAAGGTCTCAATAAGTAGCTCAAGCTGGCTTCAAATTCCAGATTCCGTCATCAGGCTGGCACTGTGCTGGAATTCACATTTATTCACCACACTAGGCACAGGCACTTAAAATAGAGTTTCAACTACATTTTCCACTAGGAAAGGACAAAGATGTTTCCTACTGCATGTGTCTTGATACTTTTATGTTTGGGTATCTATGGCTAAAAGCACTCACTGCTTATGAAAAAGAAATCTGGAAACCCTTTCTTCATTATAGATATTTCTGGCAAACGAGAAATAAAATGAAGTCAAGATTTAGCTTCTAACAGTTTTCTCCTTCAACAAACGTATCTGTGAAGGGAAACCACTCATTAGAATTCAATCAGATTCAAAAGTTAAAGATCAAATGCTCTGTGTCATTTAGAGGTAAAGGATGCAGAGGGCTTGCCAAGGAACACTGACCAACGCCCTGATGTCCCCCCTCCCTCTAAGAGCATACATCTTGTAAAAGATTTCCTCATCCCTCTTCAGAAGATCAGAGGAAATAAGAAAAAACACCTACTGAGAACCCCGATTCCTACTTAACGGATGTGAAATAACAAAATGCTATAAAATCACCCTTTAGCCATGCGCAAACAATAGTTTTATATGTAGGCTGCTGAGCTATCCTCGCTGATCTGTCAGCCTACAGGCAGAAAAGCAAGGCTTTAGGAGGAAGCGGCAATAAAAGCACCCTAAATCCCAAATCTGTGGGGTACCATACCAATATACATGTTTCAGATAAAAAATGAAAGGGGAAGAAAAGAACAAAAGAACATGCAAAAATACTCTTGGTCCAGCTTCCTGATAAATATCTATGATCCCAGAACTTGGCAGGGTAAAAGCCAAAAGGTTCTGGAGTTCAAGGTTACCAGTTTGAAATAACAGATACTGCCTCAAACAAATAAACAAACAAGCAAACACCTTTAATCCCAGCACTCAGGAGACAGATGGGGAGATGAGTTTGAGGCCAGCCTGCTCTTTTTGTAAAGAGTTCTAGGACAGCCAGGACTATATGGTACCACCACCACCCACACACTGACACACACAAAGTAGCAACCCTGGGATCTGTCTCAGTGGTTAAATATGTGCTTAGCATATATTTACAAGGTTCTATGTTCATCTCCAGGACCAGAAGAAAAGAGAAAACAAACAAAACAAAACCAATAGAAGAATGGTGGAAAAAAATATGAAAACAAGACAACTACTTAAATAAGGAAATCAATTATTGAAAATTTAAATTATCAATGGAAATGAACAAGCAATGGAGGGACACATCTTTTCTAATGCTGTAAGAATAACAAGATTCTACCAAGAATCTCATTTCTGTGGCACACTTGTAATAAAACAACTTAATAACCACGTACAGTTCCAGAAAGGACATCATGGGGACAACAGTTGAGTAGGTGGCTCTTGCATACTCTGTCATCGCTGAATTTGATTCGTTGTCGAGTAGTATCTCCTGTAATATAGAAAAGTTAACAATATTCAAGGTTAGACAACTAGACAGGGTTTATATTTTGAAAGTCCTAGTTACCACTAGCTTTTGATGTTTGACTATCTTACGGACACTATAAATCAACCCAGGAGGGATTAGTTTTTTAAATACCATCCTATAGAAAAACTATTTTAGACAACATGCAGCTGCAGTTTATGTACTGCAAACATAATTCAAATATAGTCAAAGTGGGAAAGCAAAGCATTCTGTTAAATAAACGTACTTCAGAAAAGCATAGTATTTTAGAGTAGGAATGGACCTTATGGGTTATCAAGTCCAACTCCTTTATACTGCAGATGAGGAAAATGAGGCCCCCAAGAGGTTAAGCAACTTGCAGCAGACCCACCAAAGAGTTTCTACTGGTATACAATGGTCTCTTGACAGTAAGCACTATTTATTTTGTAATTATTTACATTAATTGAAAAACATAAAAAGTAATCTTGCAAACATTGCATACACACTGCGAATCCCCACTGAACCCCAGACGCCATTTCTTCCACTATTTTGTTCCAGCTGAAGTGTCTCCCTTTTGCTGCTGGGAGGAGTTAGAGGGTAGAATAAGGTGTTTAAGAGCGTACAAACCTGGAAGAAGGACTTACACACCAGTCAAACAAAGGCACATTGCCTAAATGAAATGTTAACTTTAATACCTCCAAAGATCCCATACTTCCAAGTTTTATGTGGTCTGTGCTATGTTGCCAAACCAGGCAAAATAAAATACGTTCTGTCCTCATATAAAAAACACAACTCCTAAACAGAAGGAACCAACCTGCTTATCAAACATAGCTATTTACTCAAAAGCTTAAAGAGTCTAAGAAAAGGTAACTAGCTAGATTAACAAAATACAAATGTTAGTTACAGTTTATTTATTTATTTTGCTTAGAATCTCTGAAGAAATAAAAGAAAAACTCACAGGGTCGTTTCCTCTATGCAGAACGATAAGCCCTAAAAATGTGGTTTAGCCTTAAACTGTTTATCACTGATAAATGAAAACCTACTGGTGAATTACTGAAGCAAAACTGTTGAAACAAACCAAAAGCTTGTAAATACCTCTGCAGCTCACATGATACCTACAGCACTCCAAACATTTCAACTAGGAAGCAATTCTTAAATTCAGTTCTGTATTTTCACATGTGAATAAACAAACAAACAAACAACAAAAAAACCATTCAAACTTTACCCCTTTTAAGTGGTCTTATATTGAAGAGCTTAACTTAAAGACAACTAAACACTATGGGGTAAGATTTTGTTCAAATTGTTTCAATTTGGTTAAGAAGATGTAAAGAACATTCTGATTTGCAACTAGGACACATACATTTTTAAGAAAGATAATATGCTAAAAATCATAGCTTCAGAGCAGTTCAACAATAGGTTTTCTGAGGCTAATCTCTAGTAGGTTATTTGTGACACAATCTGGAATAATCCATTTAGTGTCCATGCCTGCTACTATATGTTACTTTGATGGACTTTTATTTCCTTTTAAACACATCTGCTTCTGTTCCACATTCATTAACACATCTGAAAAGTTAGTGATAACTCACGGCTCGGCGAATGCGGGGCCTTTCTGAAACTCCCTTGCAGATTGAAGTAGGCAGGCATAGATACATTGAACCTTTACAAATAAAACAAGGGGCCAGATTGTTCAGTTTGTATAGAATAGACTCTGCCAGCAATTTCAATACAGCACCTAGAAGTACATGTTGACTGTAAAGATTCTTGTATATGAAAACAGAAGTGAACAAAATCAAGAGTGTTTGTTTTTTGTTTTGTTTTGTTTTTATAATACTGACTTAACAAGTATAAGCCCAGAGAAAAATATGACTCAAGATAACTAAATCTCAAGACTGGAAACTCTCCAAGTGGCCCCTGGGCTGCATGAGAAATGTTTCTTTAAAAGTGTGTTGAAGACTAGTGAGTGCCTCAAGCTCCTATGAGAACCAAGCTACCAGAAGCTCACATCAGAAAGCTAAAATTATAGAAGCTTTTTAATCATAGAAAGACTTTGTTTAAAACCTTAGTGTAATTTTAAAAGTGATAAATTTCTAGGGGATGAGGGACATTTACAAATCTAGGAAATACTCTGCTACAACTATCTCAGCTTTTTGGTAATGAAACAGCAATGTCAGTTCAGTCTATTGTAAAACATGGCTCATGGGTAGATGGGGTCTAAGTGAGATCTTAGATATTTTATTAATCAAACATCTCCTCAACTAGGTGCCCATTTTTGCCTAAGAAATCACACTAAATGTATTAAAAAGGGACACATGCCCTGAAGACACTACCAGATAAAACATAAATTACAAATATAAACATAGTAACAGTAGCCCTTGTGAGCTTTAAAATAATGAAGGAATCAATTTCTATAAATGCCAAAAAAGCATCTAAAGTATGTCACTACAAATAAGCAGGTATCCCATAAACATTTCATAACCGCAGCAAAAATAGCTTTCGAATGAGTCGTTATAAAAATCATTTTCCTAGAATTATAAAAACTAGTTCAAGATGAACCAATCCTCTAAGAAGGACATGTAAGTGAGGATCTGCCTATCGATATTTTAAAAGTTCTACTTAGGAGAACTTTATGGCTAATATTTTAAAGTAATTTGGCTACAATATTACAAAATCATGCAGCATTTGAATAAATTTGGGCTTTATGACATAAGTATAATTTAACTACACAATTTTAAAGCAGAAATGCTTTAATCTTTATCTCTGTCACAACATCTGGCCCAAACCATGTTTTTCAAAAGAAAACAGGTAAAACAGAACCCACTTAAGAGGGAAAAAAAAAAAAAAAAGACTACAAATAGGGACTGAATTATGAACAAAATATCCTTATAATAGAGGATTTAACAATCCAACATGTTTTATATATTTGTGTTTCCTAGTAACTGAATTATACAAAATAAAATCTGAGTTAATTCCCTTAATAAATTCTCACATATGTTTAAAAATGAAATTATGGGGGGAACTGGCCTGTTATGGTGATACTAGATGCTAATCATAGAATCAAACCTATTAGTGACTCTAGCCTCTGTGCTACAAAATGGAGTAACAGAGCTTAAGACAAATATTCTGCTCCCAAGGAGCCCACATTTTCACTAAGGAAATAGGAAACACAAATAACAGTAACACAAAATAACATGATCCAAGTGTCAAAAAGAGATGTTTTTAACATACTAGAACTATCACCAAAAGGTTGGGAAAGGCTTCATGGAGAAAGTAGAAGCCAAAATCTGAACACTCCAGATAAGACTTGGAGGAAAGACGAACATTTCAGACCAGAATATTATCTTTGACAAAGTTTACAAAGGTTTTAAGGTTTGGGGAACAGTAAGTAAACTATATTCAGCTTTGGTAAATGGCTAAGTATGTCTGGGAATACAGAGGATGGAGCCAAGGGTACAATTTTTGGATGGTGAAATTTGGTTAAGATCTTTCTTCAATCCATATTTATAAATGAACTTTTAAGAAATGTTTGAAAAAAAAAAAAAAGAAATTTTTGAGCTGGACAGTGGTGGCACATGCCTTTAATCCCAGCACTCTAGAGGCCTCCAGAGGCAGGTGCATCTCTGCAAGGCCAGCCTAGTATAGAAAGCAAGTTCCAATATAGCCAGGGCTATACAGAGAAACCTTAGCTCAGAGGAAAAAAAAATTTTTTTAAATGAGGCAATAAATAGATTAGACCAAGTTTAGTCAACAACAAAAACAAATTATTTTACCTATAAAAACATGTCTGTCTTATGACAGAATTAATTAAGATTTATGTATAATCACAATGCAAGATTTTAGAATAAGGAACTAGACCATTTTTATTTTTAAGGCTGGGCCTCATGTAGCTCAAGTTGTCCTTAAACTCATTGTATAGAAAAAAATTACATCAATTCTGATGCTCCTGCCTCTACCTCCCAAGTTCTAGGGCTTTACAGAGGCATGTACCACCAGGTCCAGTGAGGAATCTGATTTCCAATTTTGGGTAGCCACAAACTTTTCACTTGAAAAGTACAAAAAATGTCTATTAATCATGTCCACCAAACAATTATCTTCAGAATGGCAACTTCATCGCCATCTTTTGTTCAATCCCTTCTTGGGTGTAACACTTAAGAACAGTTGGGTCACAGCTATACAATAAAAACTGAAATACGTAATACTCTCTAGTAACTGAGGCATTAGTTTCACTAGGGGATACGAAAAGGTCTCCTCTAAATCCGGGATCCCCACTTAACCTGCACTCAATACTGCTCTCAAAACTCCCTTCAATCTGCTGTGAAGGAAAATGAACCCCACTGTAATACCCAATATGGAATTATGATCCTACAATCTGATATAAATTTTATCAGCACATAAACTTTGGTCTATTGTACACAGTGCATGCTATTTTCCCAAAGCCCACCCCTCCCCCTCAGCTTCTCCCACCCACTCCCTCCCTTACAAACAACAAACCAAATCAACTTTCATAAATTTAGGTGCTATTTTAAAAACATCAAAATTTTACTTTACCCATTCTCTCCGATGCTCCCTGTATTTTTTTAAGCTGTGAGTGGATGACCATGCTATGTGATCAACAACTGTGAAGTTAGCAAAAGTGAACTGAGTTTAGTATGGTAATTTCAAAAATCCTTAAAGTTTGTAATACTTGACACATTTAAGGTATGCAGAATCCTATCTTACTGTATATCATCAGGCATTAACGGCAAGCAATTTATAAAAGCAGTCAGTATTTCTTTGTACAGGTTTAGCTCAGAGCTCAGCTCAGGGTGGAAATACCCCATGTCTATTACTGAAGGCAGAGACAAGAAAGCTCTCTCACATTTTCTAGTATGACAAGCAACGTGTCCCCCACACCACCACCTGTATCTGTGTTTAGGATCTTTTATCACTCAGTTGACTTGGGACACACAGGCTTCAAGCCCTTCAGTGATAGGAAAGCTAGAGCTAGAAAGAGGTATAGAAATGAAAACGAGAAGCTTCTTGCTTGCCTAACCTCTCTTTAATCCCCAAATGCAAAGGCTATTAATACCCTTTCTTCCAATATAAGCTGCACACCCATATAGTAGTGTAGGAATTACAGAAAAACCTATGGCCAGTTTCTCGTCTACCCCAGGGCAAGGAGTTAATTTCAGAAGTGCACAATTACGCCGTGTGTCTTCGCATGAGTCCAGACACTGTACAACCTGGTCCCTCTTATAATAGAGTCCTCCTGCACCTTCCTCACCTCGCCTGTCTTTCTACGGCCTTTAACAGTCATCTATGTCAACATTTTTGCAAGCAGTTGACACAAAGAAGCTGGTTTAGTGCCTCAGCCTCTCCAAGTGCTGGGATTCTGTGTGCACAGAACCACATCCAGCTTTTACTTCTATGTGTGTGTTTTTCATACATGTCTGTATGTGTATCATATCTGCGCCCGGTGCTCTCAGAGGTGAGAAGAGGACACAGAATCCCCTGGAACTGAAGGAAAGACAGTTGTGAGATGTCATGCGAGTCCTGGAAACTGACACAAGAGCTGCCACAAGTGCTCATAACCTTTCCAGCCCCTAATTACTCTTTTAGGAGGGAGGAAAAGACAGAACCTCCTGCAGCCCAGGGTGCCTGCAACTCATTATGCAGCGGATGACTAAATGTCTGTTCTTCCTGCTTTTACCTGGCAAGTGCTGGGATTAGTGTGCATCACCATGTCCATTTTTGTAGTTACTTCTTAAAATACTTATTTTCCCCCTTCATTCTATCTTAATAAATGTATTCAGTTTCATATTTAAGCAATTTATATTATGTTTTATAAAAGGACTCACAACATCTTAACAATGTAAATTTTTACACAAAAGCAAATAGTTACGAATCTTCCGATGGAATGCCAAGATACATGTTTCTGAATGAATAATTTCACACTTAGTAGCCAGGCGGTAGTGGCACACACTTTTAATCCCAGCACTTAGGAGGCAGAGGCAGTCGGAGCTTAGTGAATTCAAGGCCAGCCTGATCTACAAAGTGAGTTCCAGGAGAGCCAGTACTGTTTCACAGATAATCCCTGTCTCAAAAAACAAAATAAAAAACAAAAAAATTCAAATACATGCTTATTTTAGGAAGAAGCGAAAACTTTCAAAGTAAATATTTTCGGGGAGCAGAGGAGAAATAGGGGTTGGAAACACAGTTTAACTATGAAGTCCTGGCTGGTCTTGCTCACACTCCTCTGTCCCAGTCCTCCAACTTTTGGAATTACAAGCATGCACCACACCTAGCTAGTAATTTCAGTGCTGCTGTCTATCACCAAAGACTACTGATGCTTTACAAACTTTTAAAATCTAAATCACTTGTATATGAAAACCCATGCAACAAAATTATTTTACAAAATGAAGCTAGGGAAAATGCTTACAGCAACTTTAAGATACTGATCAAATAGTAATGCTAGAAATAGAACAGAAATTCTAAATAAAATACATTCCAAGGGTACATTTCACCTACTGCCCCAACCTAGTCTTTTCTCATTATACAAAACAAAGGGTTCTGAAAAATAACAGAACTTAGTGCCATTGTATTCTTGGGGACATCTACTTTAGGAGCTTTTCAGCATACTTCTCTCAGATTTAAGACACTACAAAAGACACTACTAAACTG